TGCGACCAGGAAGGACAAACAATTTTGCACATGCTGTCAGAATGCACTTTCATCCAGCAGGTCTGGCATTTAGCTTTGGCCAGACATGGACTTCATGGCATGACCCTCCACCCGGTGCGGTGATCGGTTTTTTGAGTGGTTCTGAGTGCAGCAGAGTGCGCTGGTGATGACAAGCTGAAGGCACTTGGCCACTCAACGTCTTCATGATTTGAAGGCTCTGGAGACTGCACAATACCTGCATGCTTGACAAAGTATCATGCTACCAGGAGCAGGTAGACTCCATTTGGGTGGAAGCAGGGCCATGGAAATTGGCAGGCGCAAAGATACTGAGAAGGGTACCGCTGCTCATGATACCCCCTGGTTTCTCTTAGGTCTGGGCCATAGCTGTAGCTCTAGCTGTACTTCTGTTCCTTGGATATATTTTTCTTTATTTTTGCTGTTTTCTTTAGGTAGGCCTAAGTATTTTCATTTCTGGTTTGGCTTTTCTTTTGGTGTTCAGCTGTCATTTGTGTCATTTTGATGCCTTCTTTCTATAGTTGTTAATGTGTTACTATGGCTACTGGTTAACATTATCTAGGTTGAACATTTGACAAACCAAAAGGCATCCTTGACCCTCACACAAAAACAAAGGCCACTTGATCATTAGAGAAAGATAACATTGATACTGAATATGGTAAAAATGGCTGTTCTGCATTTCCCTTGTCTTAATTACTACTTTCTACATTTGTTTAGCATTCCAAAGATGCAGACAATAACAGCTATCCTGGGAATCCTGGCAACAAGAAATGTATTCAATGAAGTAAGGCATACCTTTGGTTAGACCTGGTTCCATGAGTGAGCAAGTTCTGCAAGATGCTATGCAATATCCGCAGCGCTCTACCGACAACAACAGCCTGAAAAGAAAGGGAACAGGTCAATGCATGCATAAACCAGCTGGCCAGTTGAAGGCCAAAACTCGTAATTAAAAAAAAAAGATTGCCTCACTTCGACATACATAGCAAAAGCTAAGAGGGTTTAATGACTAAGCACTACAGAAGAGAAAACAATCATGATGTGTCATAGTTACCATTCTTCAAATCAGTAGAAACTGTATATCCAATCGAACAGACTCTACCTACATAGGCGTAGTTGGATAAGCAATCTATATAGCTATTAACACTAGCATTTTCCAGAGCCTACATAATGTCAACTGGTCAGCCTTTTATTCTTCAACTAAGCAACAAGCAAGGGAAGAGGAATACAAGTGCTCAGATCTTAAGCTTGCAAAATATGATGATTCCTTGTTAATTAGAACTGGTTCCTGTCTGGCTATGAATTTTACACCCAAAACATGGCTGGAAATTGGTCAAAGGTAACCCTGTGTTCATCGGTAATTACAGAAAATCAACCATTTTCCTCCCCTAAAGGAATTACAAACAACACAGAGAAAACCATTTTGCAATCATTCAAGTCGAATTAATCAACAACAACAACAACAACAAAGCCTTTAGTCCCAAACAAGTTGGGGTAGGCTAGAGGTGAAACCCATAAGATCTCACGACCAACTCAACTATGTTAAAAATTGTTAATAACCAGTACTCCCTCCGTCCCAACTCAACTTTGTATTAAATTAGCGACACTTTGGGACGGAGGGGGTATTAGCTTATATGGAGTGCTTAGAGCTATTTCTTTTCCTATGCCAGTGAAGAAGCACAACAGATAGTCAAACAAACAACAATGAAATGACTAAATAAGCAAGTGTTGTTATGGAGATAAAGCAGGATAATTGGTTCTCACATTACCAACAACACACAGATTTAGCAATGCTTCAAGAAGCGTCCGTATAGGTATGGTGTCACTATTCATCTGCAGAAACAAAATAAATAGGTTGGAGATATGAGATGTTATTTTAAAAAAATACTCCCTTCGTTACAGAATATACCACGTACTCGTCTTGACTCTTAAGTACTATATTCAGTGTATGCATGGAGGAATAAAACGTAAAGATAGGTATATGGGGAACAACACACTTCTTTTTGCATTGGGCTGTGAACAAAAACAATACAAAACTACCTTTTTTCAGAGGAACTAACTGGATTAGAGGGCAATATAGGAAGACAAGCTAACAGTAGCATTCTGGCTGTTAGAAGAAATAGCAACCTGTATTCCTATGAGGCCATAGGATGGTATATATGGCATATGCACTTACCGGTGTGGTGGAAATCCCTTAATCTTATACAACGAAGATGCTACACAGCTAACATAAAACAACTATACATGTGTCTAACACTAGCTACTGCATAAACAGAAAATGGGTGAGTGCGGTGTTTCCAATTTAAATGGTGCATTATTCTGGTGGATGGAAACAAATCGTTTACCACTCTGTCCTATCGCAAGGCAAATAAATTGCAAGCACTGTATAACAGATTTTAGCATTGAAAAGTAAAGTTGAAAAGCAAAGTAGAGTTTCAATCTTGAAATGCATACTTAGTGCGAGCTGCAACAGAGAAAAAGGAATCAAAAGTTTTTGTGTTTACATGACCATCACCTTGACAATAATATCGTATACTTCCGAAACAGCATTATTCATGGAGGAGCTCGCTTCAGTAGAGGTTTCACACTTGTCTGGCAATCTCGCAGATTGGAAAAGTGTCAACATTTCTTCTGAGCAAGAAGCAAGGATCTTCGAGATCAAACTCCTCCCTAACATACTGTTAGCTGGCCTGCCCCAGATTGCACATAGGCTGCTAGAGATGTTATTCATTAATACTTTCTTGCGCTCAAGATGTCCACTGTTCAGTGGAAGATCTGTCTGGACTCCTTTAGTCTTAATGTCCTTAGATTTGTTCCTTTCTAATTCAGGGTGGCCGCTTTCCTACCATTGACAGCAGAACTGATCATTAATGAAATTTGTTTCAACAATATAATATAGAGAACAATACAAATAAGCTAGGCATAGTACCTCCAAAGATACTCTCTTCGTGGATGTCCAACAGGAACCCCTGGCATGCAAAGCCTCATTTGCAGGGGTATGGCAAGGCTGATCAATATCCATCTCCTTACTAGAAATATCTCTGCTGCACCAAAAAAAAAATCTAATGTTAATATCCATCTCCTTAGTATAAATATCTCTTCAACTGGTTCAAGGCCAGTTAGTTATATTTACAGAATGTCATGTGAACCAAGTACAGTTATATTTACAGAAGTTCGCACAGAAAACGTGTGTTACATGAGTTGAAGAGAATGGTACTTACACATTTGCCTTCTTAAGATTATGAATCTCTGCTTCTTTGGCCTCGATTTCAAGGTCTTTCTCTTTCATGCCTTTCTTCAGCTCAATGTGCTCGTTTTTCTGCATGATTGATTTGCAAGTAAATATGCGAATCAAATTCAACACTAGCCTAGTAGCTGCCATGAACTTGCAGCGGTCCACATCACAGAGTAGGATCAAAACGCACCAAGCTTGAATCAGTTACAACACAGCATGGGCATTGATGAATGGTAAAACTAGTAGTGCTACTATTTATGAACCAATAACAATAAGCGGCCAGTGAGATGCGCACCAAGTCATTCATCTGCTTCAAGGTACGCTCCAGCTCCCTCTGCAACATCCAGTGGGATCACAAGCATTGTCAGATCACAAAAGGCGGCGCGGTGATGAAAGCAGTATCTATGGCTATCTCACCCTGAGCTCCTCGGCCGACTTGCTCTCTTTCTCCTTGGCCGCCCTAGGGAGCCTCCCCCTGGGCGGCACGGCCTTGACGCGGTCACCATGGGCCTGGCTGGGCGCCCTGGCATCCCTCTCCCTCGGCGCGCCCCTGGGCCGGTCCGGGCCCGCCACCCCTGTGATCTGGCAGTCGGTGTTCTCGGCCGCCGCCGAGGAGGAGGGGCGCTGGGAGAACTCCCGCGGAGGAGAGAAGCCGCCGCCGCAGCCGCCGTCCGGGACGCGCTGGGAGAGCTCCCTCGGGGGCGAGAAGTGGAGGGGCGCGGAGGCGGGCATGTGGGAGGGGTGCGCGAAGGGGGAGATGGCGGCGGCATGGGGAGGCGCGGCGGGAGGCCGGTAGAGGGTGGAGGCGGGTGCGGCGAATGCATTTGGCGAGGCGGGGACGCGGGGGAGTGGAGCGGCAGATGCGGCGAAGGACGAAGGAGGGTACGAGGCGGCCGGGACGCGGGAGAGGGGAGCGGCGGAGGAAGGAGGAGGGCACGAGGCGGCGGAGGGCGGCGCGTGGTGCTGGGTGGTGGTGGCGGCTGGGTCGGGAGCGAGAGCGGGGGTGGCGGTGCTAGGGTTGCGGGAGGCGGAGCTCTCCTCTGCTTCGCGGCAGATGTTGTCGAGGTACTGCTGGTTCGCCTCCCACCAACCGTCGTCGAAGCCGTCGCCGTCCATCCCCGCGGGCGCCTCGCCTCGTCTCCCCTCGCGGCGGCAGAAGGAAGCGGTGGGCGAGGGTGGTGGTGGGGGGGGGGCTGGGCACTGGGGTTTGGGAGGCAGACGACGCGCCCTCCAGGGGGTTTCGGTCCTGTGCTATATACCGTCTACGTCTCCCACACACAACATGAGAAAAACACACTCTCAACAGGCAAATTCGCCCAACGAATCCACGGACCTTCTTTCCAAATCAAACCACGTTACAAATGCAGACGTTCTTCATACACACGCACATACGCTCACCCCCTACGACGCACGCCGTATCCATATGAGCTCGAACATAACACACGAAGAAAAAAAGTAGGAGTAGAGATTTGCAATGAGTTTTGGCGGTGAGAACTGAGAAGTGCACGCGCCCACAAATGATCTCTCTTTCCACAGTAGGGACGAAACAAGCACAGGAGTCTGCAGGTGGCGGCGACGGCGTCGCCATTGTCATCAGGTCGATAAGAGGCACAAAAAAGAAGAACCATCTCATTGTGTGAGTGTGTGGCGGATCGGGGTCGCCAAGTTTGTTTGTTACAAGAATCATCATCATCAATCATCACGAGCTATGTAAGTAGAGTAGCAGAGGCCGCATGCGTCGTCGATCGGTCAGTCAGGGCTCCTTCTGGTGGCTGCCGCCGTTGGTGTCGCCCCGTTCGTTCATGTCGGGGACCGCATCGCTGCCGCCGCCGCCGCCGGACTCCCCTAGCTTCGCCTGCAGCAGGTGCCAACACCACCGCGTTTAGTCAAGCTCCCTTCATCTTTTTATCAAGGTATTATTATTACAACACATGATCAGGGAGGCAGGGACAATGTGAGGTTTATTTTGCTACCTTCAGAGAGGTGTTCTTCGAAAGGAGCTCCTCGTACTCCTTTTTGATCCGGTCGAGCTCGATCCTGAGGGACGAGTTCTCTGACTTCAAAGCCTCAGCGCGCTGCCCGAGCTCTTCACACTCAGCCTGGAACAGATAATACCATGCTTTAAGAAAAAAGCAACTGGCGATTTCAAGTGTACAGTGAGTACGGCGTCGGTTTTACATCATACCTGCTTGCGCAGCCGGGACCTGCGCGCTGATTCCCGGTTGGACAGCTTCCTCTTCTGCTTCTTCAGTTCCCTTTCATCCTGAATAATTATTTATTGGCAAGAATACAGTTATTATATGGAGAAAATGGCTGAATACGATTAAAAAAATAACTCCAAATCATGGTATCATTCACGCATGGTAGGATTGACTAAACTTTCCTACAATCACATTTTGAAAATGAAGGGGAAAAAAGGTCCAGCAGAAGGTTTTGTTCAGTGAACTGTAGGTATGTTATAGTATAAATGCCTTGTCAAGAACTACACCTGAGCACAATAACAGAATACATCAAACTGGTTTCACATTGAACAACCAAGAGCTATCTTCAAATAACCTAAGGAAAATTTGAGCTGCAGTTCGGAAATGAAACAAAATGCCGTCAAAAGGTGTGGCTCGGTGGGTGGCAGGCTGGCAGCAACATAATGTTTGACTAAGAACTAAAGTATAAGCAGCACGGTTGCAAAAGCAATTTTGGTTCAGCGGACTAGTAACGCAAATGTATGGTCAAGCACTACACAGCCAGCAATGATTACATAGCAGACTAGTTTACCTTGACTCCTTTTCGGAGAGAAACATTCTGGTAACATAGCAGGACATGCCAGTCTTCAGAGGTAAGATCTTAGTCTAACGTTTGTGCAGAAAGTAAGGCGAGACAGAGCATGTGCCAAGGACTTTACCCATTGCTCTCCTCGAGCTGAACCAGACGGTACTTTGCCGCGCATTGCAGGAACAGGTGAAGAGCCAGTTGCACCCCAGTAGTCCATCCCTATGTTCAAGTTTGTCGCAGGACCAGCAACTCCTATCACTGCACCTGATTGTACTGGAACCAACGGCATGGGTTTATTAAATGTTCCATGCGATGATGAATGAGATACGCCATTCTGAGCACTGCCTGCATCACCGAATGTACCCTCCATCTTATGCAAAGAAATGTGCAAATCCACTTTATCTATCATAAAACTATAAATAAGCCCTCAAGTGCCTACCATTTTCATTTACATCATTCTCCTTTGAATGTGAATCCTGTTGCAACAAAGTTAGTCCACAAGTCAAGAGAAAGCTGAAACTTCAGCCAAATAAAAGATATGATGTGCAGGGTAATATCAAACTCACATTTTGAGAATTGGCATCACTTCCTTCACTTTCACTATCACTTCCGCTTTCACTGCAGGTTGAAGGTACCTTACAATTAGTTGTTTTGGAACTAAAGAAACTTGTAATTACCACACATTGCTAACAAAAACCTGTTGGACGTAACCCCATTGGCAGATGGACCAGATGTTTTGCCGGGCTCATTTTTCCCTGAAATTATGAACAGAAATCTAAACCTGGCTCCCAAGCTTAAAATAACCTTAACACTGATCTTGGACAAGACTTACCATTCGTTTCTGCAGCACCTGGTGCAGCTCCCTGAGCTCCCTGAAAGACATGTCAAAATTTCATGAACTAGTGACAATCAGAAGAAAAAGAAGAAACAAAGAGATTATTACTTACAGCAGGTTCAAGATTTCCATTTGTTTGCATAGGATAATGAAATGGATGCACACCCTGTACAAGTAGTTATTGATTCGTACGAGCGTGTCAGTAAAATTGGATACATATGGTGTGTGAATAGGAAGATAGCTTTGTAGATTACACTTGTCAGGTACAAAAGTTCATACAGGAGCAGTCGGATGGGCATATACTGTTCCTGGTGGATACATCATATAGGGGGGTGGTGGTGTCCCGTAAGGTGGCACCATGTGCTGCAATTAACAGGTCCATATTTTTAGGTTTACATACAAAAGCACATGCCTACATATAAGCATGATTTTACAGTTAATGCAAACCGCCACCTGCCTAACTTTCACCCCCTTTCTTCCTCTTACAGAATTCCTTATCGCTAAGTAAATAATATTGGAGAGACCTTTTTAATAATATTGAGAAGAGAAACACATGTAATAAGAACCATAAATGGTCTATCAACAAAGCAGGAAAGATCCCAAATTCAAGCTGAGGCAGACATCAACTGAGATAGGATCAGATGAGCAGTCCCTAATAATAGAGACCAAGATTCCAAACAGCACAAATCCATACTTTGCTGGTCTTGCTCTAAGCTGAACAGGGATTTATGAGGAAAAGGGACAAAGTTTCCTATAGAGGGCACCTGAGGTCCCCACATGTATGGATGAGCCTGGCCTGCAGCAACAGGAGGGGGGAAAAACCCATGCGGTGGCATCGCTGGGTAGCCCTGCCAAGATTTACAAGATAATAAAGTCAATGAAAACAGTAAATAACATAATTGATTTAGTAAAATAAAAGCACATCCATCTTCATTGGTAGAAAAATCATAGAATAACCTGAAAGCCGGGCCATTCAGGGTAAACTGGAGCTGTGGTGCCAGAGGTAGTAGCCGGAGGTTGCTCCTGAGAATAGGAAAGTAAGAACCCAAAATGGGATTAGTAGAAAGAAAATGTTTATTACAACAGAAACGGGGAATTTGTATTTTGATCCAACAGGTATCTCCTTCCAAAATGGGATTAGTAGAAAGTAACTAGAACTGAAGTAGCCAAAATATCTTTCAGTAATGCAGTCCATGCTGTTAAATGTTGGTTCAAAACAATGACGATTAGACTGACAAGCTGTGGGATCGAGAATTGGAGCACTAGTCGCACACCCCCGAAATGTAACCACAAATTTTGGCGCTCCCACACAGGACATTAAACACAAAACCCACCGCATAATTCCTGCCAGAATGAACTAATCAAACTAAACAGTACCATTTGCAGCACCAATTCCATTTTATTCCCTTGCAAAACTCCAATTTTTTTATAACCCTGACCTTAGCTCCATTAATCATCTATCTCCTTGCCATGTCGGCCATGCCTGTCAGTTTTTGTGTTAGTTCCATGAAAGAGAGAATTTGTGTGGTAAAATTTCCAAAGGTTGGGGTATTGCGTGGTTACTGCCCCAGAGATTGGGTTCCTTGATATTTACTAAAAAGGTAAAAAGTTAAGGAGTCTATCAGTGCCACTGCTTGAGCAGATCTACGCACTTCAATTACAAAAACAAGACTTGCAAGGCATCAATGTTCTTGAGCCAGCCAAACCATGATAATCTGAGTAGTAAGGAAATGTGCACTTCTGCTATAATTTATATCATACAATACTTATTCAAAGTGTCTTCTAATTTGGGCGTAACAAAGTTACTGTCGCTTTAATAATCATCATTCTAAGTACCATTAGGTGCTTGCGACACATCCAAGCTACATACACAGAAACACACACGGGAAGGAGCACTAAAAAACCAATCAACTTTATCTTTTCGAGCGAATGGTCAGAACCAAAATAAGCACCACAAGACAATCCATTCATTCGAAAAGATGAAGACGTTGTGCAATCAGGCACCTGTTCTGGTGGCTTCGAAGCCTTAGACGGCGTGCTAGGATCGTTGCTCCCCATCGGATTCACCAGCAGAGCTTCCGGACGACCAGCTCCACCAATCACTCCATATCAAAACCAGTATATCGAAAACTCTGGGTGGCAGGAAGACCTAGAGCTGCAGCAGAAAGGAAATCTGTTAGGAGCCCTCCTACCATCACGTGTTTGGGCTGGCCCCTTGGGCCAGCTGGGCCTGGCCCGTTCGGGAACCACGAAGGCGATAAGAGTCTGGGAGGAGGCGGCCTCGAGAGTATCCACAGTGGATCACGGAACCGGCACCCCGGCGGCTCGGCTCTCTTCTCATCTCGTTCCCCTTCCTCTGTTCTTCCTTACCCAGCTACCAATTAGTCTGTAATCGATACTCTGTACTTGAATCAATGGTGCTTGTGAGCACTTGAGTGCTAGTGTGATCAGGTCTCTTACAAAATCAACCATTCTAGCAGCAAGTAAAGAGCAAGTTTTATCATGATACTGTAGGAGCGGAAGGTTTAAGAATTTCGCAACGGAAGCAAGATTTCACTCGTCTGGTGATCCCCTGGCGTCCAATCGAGCAGTAAACTAGAACGAATTTAAAAAAGTAAATCGCACTGAACTTCAAGAGGAATTCCAAGACGCATTACGCAGCGCCACCTCAGGAATCCACGCCAGCTAAAAATTTCTGATGACCCGCCGAACCCTATCTACCTAACCCTAGCCGATTCGGGCGCGGAGCCGGAGCCGCGTCCATCCGGCGCCACGGCTTCAAACCCACCCAGAGATCAGAAATCCGCGGGGCCCTCGTCCAATGCGAGTGATACGTCACGTAACCCTCCCGAGTGCTTCAAAAATTACCAGTAGGCCTCACCGGGCTCGGGCTTGGGGCGCGAGCGGCTCGCCGGAGATTCGGGGGCCGGCGCGACGCGACGCCGGCGAGGGCGCCGCCACCCACGCGTGCAGAGGAGCGGACCTCGCCGGGACCAGCAAATGCGCGGCGGCGGGGGGAGGGGTGGTGGAGGAGGGATTGGGACGGAGGGAGGGAGGGATCGAGGAAGAAGAGATGGAAGCTCCGCGGGGGGCGACTGCGTGGACCGGGTTCACGGCGGACGGCGGGCGAGAGGACGCGGGGACGGGCCGCTGGCGCGCGGGGCCCGCGGTCCAGGCGGGCGGTGATTGGTGGGCCGGGTCCACGGCGGGTACGGCGTGAGCAAGCGCGCAGCTGGCTGGGTAGATGGATGGATAGGCCGGGAGTGGCCCACTTGGATGGATGCTGCGGCGGCAACAACCGTCGCCGGCGCCATGCTGGCCTGCCCATATCCTCTCCCTCCCTCTATTTCTCTTTCTCTCAACTAGGAGTAATTAATCATTTCTTTGTGATGAATTGTGAGGCCATGTCATGCCAATTATGATGAATCCTTAATAATGCGGAAGGATGGAGATAAACTTAGATTTTTATAAGAACAACTTGTGGAATGAGTGAGGGTCCTAAGAGCGTGGAATAAACCGAAGAAAAAACGATGTATGATTGTCACGTCATGGATTGTCGAATCTTATGATCAAAGCACGTGGGATTTGCAAAGATATCACTCTGGCGACAGTGGATATATGAAAGTTATGTGGTGGTCGGGTTCTCAAGAAATCAGGGTTTTTAGTTTTGGATTATACTAGAACGGTTGGGCGCGTTTTGCTGTGCCGTTGGTGTTGTTGAGACTCTTAAAAAAATACTCGCTTTGTTTTAAAATATATGGTGTATTACTTTTTTGAAAAGTCCAACCTCTTTAAGTTTGATCAAATTTAGAAAGAAATATATCAAAATTCATAGTATCAAATTTGTTTTATTAGATTCATCATGAAATGAATTTTTATAATTTTTTGGTTTAATATGCGGATGTTGATATTTTTGGCTCTAAACTTGGTCAAAATTAAAGAAATTTGACTTTCCAAAGAACTAATACCCCTTATATTTTGGAACTGATGGGATATTTAGTTTGGCGGATGAGGGAGACGATGGAATGTGTTTTATATTTATTTATAATGTGGTTATTTGATGGGCCTTTCATGGTGTGCTACTGTATTATGCGCTAATCAACTCATACTTTTATAGGTAAATTTTTACGTCGGTGGTTACATGTACTATATTGGTGCTATAGTATCATCACATGGTGATGCTTCTTTTTCCAGGTGGTAAGAGGGTGCAGGGGGTTGATATATTTTTCTAGCTGGTTAGTGTTGATTGATTTGAAAAATCGTTGGACCGATCAAAATCGTAAACCAAATTCAAAATTTAATATCTCAATCGAATAAAAGAGCTTCAAAAATAGGGAATATGGTGAATTATTTAATTAAATAGGAGAGTTCCTTTAGAAATATTGACCCTGTCAAAATCAGGTGACCAAGTTCTAAACTGAGGATAGTAGATTTCACATGAGTTTTTCCACTGCGAAAGGATGGAGATAAATTTAGATTTTTATAAGAGCAACTTGTGAAATGAGTGAGAGTCCTAAGTGTGGAAACCGAAGAAAAAAAGCACGTATGATTTTTGTTAACACAAAAAAAAAAGTATGTATGATTGCGGTGCCAAGGTTTGTTGGACCTTAAATAGAGGAATTCACAAAATCTTATTTTTTTTAAACGAGGCAAAAGACTTGCCATTTTCATTAATTAAGAAGAAGTGAGAATTGCCCGGTTAATTGGCGGAAAACCGGGCTAAACCCGATACAACCCAACCCATAAAGACATGGGCACCACCGGTCAACCTGGTCACCGATATGAATCATAAGCTACGACGGCAGGTGCCAACAGATAGCCACACACACGAACAACTGACAGCTCCGACTTTGACGACAGGCATCACCCGGGAAATATGTAGGACTTGCGCCGACCGTGCCTCCCGACCACCGAGCGTCTATCATCGTCACCACCTGGACTCGCTCCAGCGCAGCTCCTGTTGGGGAACGTTGCAGAAAATTAAAATTTTTCCTACGGTTTCACCAAGATCCATCTATGAGTTCATCTAAGCAACGAGTCAAGGGAGAGAGTTTGCATCTACATACCACTTATAGATCACGAGCGGAAGCTAGCCAAGGAGATGGTGATGATGGAGTCGTACTCGAACGTGATTCGGATCACCGATGTCCAAGTGCTGAACGGACAGCACCTCCGCGTTCAACACACGTACGGGACGGAAGACGTCTCCTCCTTCTTGATCCAGCAAGGGGGAAGGAGAGGTTGAGGAAGTCAGCTCCACCGGCAGCACGACGGCGTGGTGATGGTGGAGAAGCAGTACTCCGAAAGGGCTTCGCCAAGCACACAACGGAGGAGGAGAGGTGTTGGGGAGGGGAGGGCTGCGCCTTGGAGGGTGGTGCGGCTGCCCTCCCCTCACCCCTCTATTTATAGGGGGAAGGGAGAAGGGGGCCGGCCCCTCTAGATCCCATCTAGGGGGGGGGCGGCGGCCAAGGGGAGAGGGGGAGAGGGTGGCTTGCCCCCCAAGTCAAGGGGGGCGCCCCCTCTAGGGTTCCCCCCTCAACCCTAGGCGCAAGGGCCCAAGGGAGGGGGTGCGCCCAGCCCACCAGGGGCTGGCTCCCTGCCCCACGCAGCCCATGTGGTCCCCCGGGAAGGGTGGACCCTCCCGGTGGACCCCCGGAACCCTTCCGGTGGCCCCGGTACAATACCGGTATGACCCCGAAACTTCCCGGTGCTAGTTTGAGGACTTCCCATATATAAATCTTTACCTCCGGACCCTTCCGAAGCTGCTCGTGACGTCCGGGATACCATCCGGGACTCCGAACAACATTCGGTAGTCACATACTAGTCTTTCTAATAACCCTAGCGTCACCGAACCTTAAGTGTGTAGACCCTACGGGTTCGGGAGACATGCAGACATGACCGAGACGCTCTCAGGTCAATAACCAACAGCGGGATCTGGATACCCATGATGGCTCCCACATGCTCCTCGATGTTGTCATCGGATGAACCACGATGTCGAGGATTCGATCAAACCCTGTATACAATTCCCTTTGTCAATCGGTACGTTACTTGCCCGAGACTCGATCGTCGGTATCCCAATACCTTGTTCAGTCTCGTTACCGGCAAGTCACTTTACTCGTACCATAATGCATGATCCCGTGTCCAACACCTTGGTCACATTGAGCTCATTATGATGATGCATTACCGAGTGGGCCCAGAGATACCTCTCCGTCATACGGAGTGACAAATCCCAGTCTCGATCCGTGTCAACCCAACAGATACTTTCGGAGATACCTGTAATGCACCTTTATAGTCACCCAGTTACGTTGTGACGTTTGATACACCCAAGGCACTCTTACGGTATCCGGGAGTTACACGATCTCATGGTCGAAGGAAGAGATACTTGACATTGGCCAAGCTTCTAGCAAAACGAACTACACGATCTTTTATGCTATGCTTAGGATTGGGTCTTGTCCATCACATCATTCTCCTAATGATGTGATCCCGTTATCAACGACATCCAATGTCCATAGTCAGGAAACCATGACTATCTGTTGATCACAACGAGCTAGTCAACTAGAGGCTCACCAGGGACATATTGTGGTCTAAGTATTCACACGTGTATTACGATTTCCGGATAATACAGTTATAGCATGAACAAAAGACAATTATCATGAACATTGAAATATAATAATACTTTTATTATTGCCTCTAGGGCATATTTCCAACGGTCTCCCACTTGCACTAGAGTCACCAATCTAGTTACATTGTGATGAATCGAACACCCATAGAGTTCTGGTGTTGATCATGTTTTGCACGCGAGAGAGGTTTAGTCAGCGGGTCTGCGACATTCAGATCCGTGTGCACTTTGCAAATCTCTATGTCTCCATCTTGAACATTTTCACGGATGGAGTTGAAACGACGCTTGATGTGCCTGGTCTTCTTCTGAAATCTGGGCTCCTTGGCAAGGGCAATAGCTCCAGTGTTGTCACAGAAGAGTTTGATCGGCCCCGACGCATTGGGTATGACTCCTAGGTCGGTGATGAACTCCTTCACCCAAATCGCTTCATGCGCTGCCT